TTCCCTGACGAGCAATTGTTCTATGCGAGTATGATACTACATTGGTATGTGAATATTGTAAATTATTTGGTTACTAATATGTTAGCTCCTGGTTTGTCTAGGGCTCAAAGAGATAGTCAAGAGTGATGTTAAATACTATGTATAGGATGACCCATACTTATGGAAGCATTATGCGAATCAAGTGATAAAAAGGTGTGTTCCTGAAACTGAGGCTATTTCTATTCTCACCTTTTGTCATTCTTATGCTTGTGGAAGTCACTTTGGAACTAAGAGGACAATGAGAAAAGTGTTATAATGTGGTTTCTATTGGCCGTCTTTATTCTGAGATTCGTATTCTTTTTGTAAGTCATGTGAACATTGTCAAAAGGCAGGTAATATATCCCACAAAGGAATGAGATGCCACAAACACCCATATTATTCTGTGAAATTTTTTATGTTTGGGGCATCAATTTCACTGGTCCGTTCCATTCTAAAGTTGTTATAAAATTTATCAAGTCAAACGTATTCTCCAAGTTTGGAATCCCTATAGCTCTAATAAGTGATCGAGGCACTCACTTTTGCAATCGAATTGTGGAAACTTTGCTGAGAAAGTACCATGTGACCCACAAGGTGTCATCTACCTATCATCCGCAAAACAGTGGGCATGCGAAAGTGTCAAACCAAGAGATCAAGTCCATCCTTGAAAAGGCGGTCAATCCAAGCAGAAAAGATTAGAGTTTGCACTTAGATGATGCCTTGTGGGCATATAGGACTGGATACAAGATGCCCATTGTATGTCACCTTATTGGTTGGTGTTTGGGAAAGCATGCCACCTTCCAAGTTAGAACACAAAGCTTACTGGGCTATCAAGAGTTTTAACATGAAGATGGATGAAAGTGGAGAACATAGGAAGTTGCAACTAAGAGAATTAGATGAAATTCGCAATGATGCCTATGAGAGTGCAAGAATTTACATTGAGAAAACGAAGGCTTTCCATGACAAGATGATCTCTAGGAAGAAATTTGAAGTTGGTCAAAAAGTCCTCCTATACCAA